TTGAAGATATTTTTCTGTGTTTGTGAAGTAATGTGTGTATATAATCATCTGTAATTTGCGCATGTGAACAGTTTAGTTCATTATCGCTAAATGCATCATCAAAAACAGATGTGTAATTCCCACAGATAACCTCAATAATCCGTCGTTGTATTGGTGTGTTTGGTGTCCCCTATTTTTGTGGCCAAACGAAATTTGTCCTGACCCTAAATTGTAAGAAATGCACAGTGGAATATCGGAGACGTTCTTATACAACTCTCATTGACTTTAATTAACCAATCACAATCAGGTATTTACTCAAGACGTGATAGAAGATTCTAGCACGACAATGTGTGATATTCGATTTGGCTGAGACCTCATCAAAACCGTACTTAAATGACAGTTTAAGGACCGCTAATTAAAGTGACCGATTCACCGCGTATGAATACAACGAACTCGTTGACCCTATTATTTGAAAACAAACATGTCTGACATCGGAGACTTCTACCTCGGCAGCATCTTTGATGTTTTTGAACTGAAAAGCGAATGGTTCGACGAAGAATTTCTGGAGCCTAACGCAAATGAAGAAACTTCGAAGCTGAAAAATTCTATAGGTAGCGACAATTCGTTTCACATTTCTTAAATTGAAAAGTCAGCAGGCGTCAACTAGAACGCTAGGTGTATGTATATTCATATAAAAAGGAAAGAAAGAAAATGGACTGAAAATATTCCTCAATTTATCTCTTGTATTGTACGAAATGTTTCCTTGCATAAATAATCAATTATTACGAAATTTAACGGCAGTTTAATTTATTCATAAGTAAATATTTCACTCAAATTTACCATTTTACTGTTTTAGATATCAAAATAAACCTGCTACAAAGCGTTTCAAAACAGTGACCGACAATGATCAGGAACATATTGTTTTGGATTCGAGGAGCAAAACCACCCTTCAAACAACTGCGTGGGGAGTAAAAATCTTGAAACGTAAGAGCAAAGACAATCTTTTTAAATCAACAACATTATCAAGATTTGGACTAACATATCCTATGATAAACGAGAGTGATGTAAATCATCTTGAACATGTTAAATAAAGTACGTTGTTACTTACCTATTAACCAAATATTAAAACATTGAAGCGCAGATAAAATTAAAAAAAATATTAAAATATATTTCCAGAGTGGCTACAATTTCACGAACTCTCTCCCGAGTTTGAGACACTTCCAGTCGAGGAAATGAACGCTCTGCTGAAGCGATTCTACGCTGAAGTCCGAACTTCCGACGGGAATTATTATGCCAAGTCATCGTATGTGGGGATCCGAGCAGCGATCCACAGACACCTTAGACAGCCACCATTTAACATGAACATTAACATTCTTCAAGACAAAGAATTTCACTCGGCCAACGCCGTTTTTGCAGCAATGTTAAAAAAAATAAAGCAGTTAGGTCTTGATAATCCAGCACATCATAATGCCATTTCAGATGGTGATTTAGCTAAAATTAGAAACAAACAAAATTTGGAAAATCCTGTAGACCTTCAAAACAAAGTGTGGTTTGATTTGACCCTAGGGTTTGGACGAAGGGGCTGTGAGAACCAGAGGGAGTTGTCTGTTCATTCCTTTGTTGTCGAAACAGATGATGTTGGCTGTGAATTCATATCCATGACACATAGCGAATCCACGAAAAATCTTCCTGGGGTCGTCGGCGATTCCGAGTACACAAAGCCACGTATATACGCGACAGGAACTCCCCTCTGTCCTTTTGTATCCTTTCGAAAGTACATGTCCAAGTTAAATCCAGAAAATGAAGCCCTCTTTCAGCAGCCTCGTAAGAATGTGTGTGAGAATGATGAAGTTTGGTACACAAGTAAGCCCCTCGGTCACAACACACTGAAAACGACGATGAAACGGATCTCGGCCAGTTGCGAGTTGAGTCGGGTCTACACAAATCACTGTGTTAGATCCACCACCGTTACACTGCTTTCACATGCTGGGGTTGAAGCAAGGGAAATAGTTAAGATTACTGGGCACAAAAACTGCCAGAGTCTGTCCTCATATAAAACTGATTCGTCAGCAGCGCAAAAGCGGCAGTATTTCGCCATACTTCAAACTAGGTCTAGCGGACATGACATCAACAACACATGTCCTAACCTGTCCGCTTCCGTCCCCGCTGTAATGCCAAAACCTTCAACTTCCATTTCCACTGTCCAGGTTTCCCACATAAAAGCTTGTATGTCGGGTCTTATCCAGATTGGGAATAGTAGCGTCGTTATTAACAGTTACTTCCATGAATAAAGTTAGCGGCGAGTATACTTTGCGAGTTCATACCTTGAATGGGGCGAGTCGATTGTGATACAGAAGGGGAGGTAAATAATTCACTTGAGGAAATCAAATAACTGTAGTTGCTCACAGTATAAACTGTATATTTTGTGCTCTATTTATGCTACTTGTTATATACTGGTTACATACTTGTTACATACTGGAACCATACCATACCAAATTGTGCTGTTGAAAATGTCTTTTGTTCATTACACAATCTCTCCCTCAACTGGACGATTCCAAGCAATTTTCAGGGAAAAGGCCACTTCACGCCTTGTGTTCTTGCGCTTCAAAGAGTGCGGTTTTAAAACGCTTATCTGTCGTGCTAGAATGAAGATAAAGCTACTCTGTTTTCAATTTTGCTGTCCTTTATCGTTGATTTAAGACCGCTAAATGTTCAATTTAGAAACCTCACGATAACGCGTTCGGTTTTTAAATTATGTTTAGCGGTCTTAAATCAACGATAAAGGACCGCAAAATTGAAAACAGAGTAGCTTTATCTTCTGAATATGTGAATTACTTCTTCGTGTCCATATGTTAATTTCATTGTTACAAATTGCAAAAAAAAGATTCAGTGGCATGTGACATGCTAACCAACCACTCTTTTTGTATATGTTTCGAAGGACATTTTCATTTCCCTGATAGGCAGATGGTGTCCTCCCATTACGCAGACAGCCAGTTCGCAGACACCTTAAAACAACAACATTTACGGTTCAATGAACAGATTAGCAACCACCTGTTACCTACACATTATAATGGAATAGTCCACATAAAAACACAAGAAAAAAATCTAATATTTATTTGATAACAAGAATATAATATTTTATAAGAATATAATAGCTTCAAGTAGATATATCCTTTACATAGCAAAACTTTTATCTGTATTTATAGATCTAATTTATGCTTAGTTATAGCAAGTCCATTAAAGTTTGTGTCTTGTTAGACCAAGTTTTATGAGGTTGGCCACCGCATCTAGGAACTGAAGAGGAGTTTTCTCGCCGCGACTCAGTGTGTCTTTGAGCCTCAGGATCCTGTTGTCGATCTCTCTGTAGACTCGCTTGCGACTTGGAGGAGCAGCCCCAAAGTCGAGTTGTCTCAGCTTGGCTCTGTCAGCCATCTTGATCCTCCAAATTACTTCCACAAAGCGAATTATATTGGGGTGGTGGTGTGGAAGGGATCTGTTCGTCCGACTATGAAAACCTTCCAAGTTGTTGTTGGTCCTTGGTCCTACAGTGTTGTGATGGTTCCAAAGTGACAGTGGGAATCGGGCGTCATAGTCCACCCATGTGACGACCATGTAATCCTTGAAGTCCTCAATGCGGTCAGAGGCTGGGGAGGAGTCCATGGCATCAATCCAGGTGTCTAGAACCTGATCTTGAGGTAATAAGGCAAGGGCAGCTGCTCTCCTGATGAACTCCTTTACTGCTGGATCCTCCTTGTATGCAACTGTGAGACCTAGATCTTGTGTCTTCCTCCACAGGGCTTGGGAGAAGTGGAAGAAGCATCCCTTGGTCTCGTGCATTAGGAATTTCCGTCCCGATGGCTCGGATGGTGCACGCCCAAAATCTGTCTGTATTTTTGCTGGGGCCAGGGGACGATTCAGCTCCTCCATCACCTTCTCCTTGAGGAGGCGGAACAGTCTAACGTAGGTGGTGGTTTGACGATCAGGCAGAAGGGCAAAGACTAAGGCGTATGACACAGAGTTGCAACGGGCATGAATTATGTAAACCTGATCCCAAAGCTCAGGGAAGGCGGTGAAAGTTCCATCCATGTAGATGGTATCGGCTGTCTGCAGCACCTGGACCTGTTCAGTGGTAGAGAACACCAGCATCTTGTCTTGTTCTCCATCACAAAGAAGAAGAAAACGACGTCCATCACTTGTCTCTGTCTGACCTTATTTCTGGTGTAAACGTAACCATCCAGAAGAATATGAGGGGCCCCTCTCTGTGACATCAGATGTTCCACTCTCCAGCCATATTGATAACGAACAGATATGTTTTGCAACATTTTATATATTTGATGAGTCAAATTTCAAATTAGTCTATTGATAAAATTAATTAATTAATCCTTGTTTTAAACAACAGGTTTAAAAGTCTCTTAAGATCTTTCCTCATACAAAGATCAATTGATACTAAAAACAAAGTGAGAAGAGAAGACAGATTATCATTAAACGGCTACCAAGTTCTGTATAAACACAGTGACAAACCTCTATTCGATAGTAATTGATAGTAAAAACAATTTCGAGAAGAGAAAACAGATTATCATTTAATCACAACAAAGTTTTATTTACACACAACCAAACCAAGCTTCTCAATAACGAACCTGTTACAAGCTCAGCCTCCTCCACTCACTAGACAGTGGACTGTTCCATTATACCCGTAGGTGTTACCCTAATTAACCTTCTTGCTCAGTGTCTGCCAACTGGGTGTCTGTCAAATGGGTGTCTGTCAAATGGGAGATAACCAGGCAGATAATTTAATGCGCGTAGATTGTATTGAAGTTTGAGGTATTATAATGTTGTATGGTTGTCTGCAGCCGGATTCGTTGTTTATGATGAAATAGGATGTCAGAGAAATTGTTTTTATTCATCATTTTTTCATTATTACTTTGACTTCAGCATCTGTTTGTTTCTGTGAAGAGTGATACGTGTGTCACTTTGCGGAAATTCGCTACACAAAGTCATATGTGATTTTATTGTTCTCCAGAAGCCAAAACAACTGCCCTAATCCTTTACCAAGTGCCAATTCATATCCAAATCCCAGCATCGGAGAAAAACGTACGTCATTTTCTTTTGTTTATAATATATTCATGTGCATGGCGGTGAATTGGTTTTCCTTTATCCTCCGTGTATAATGAGCGCAAAAATCAGATAAAGTACGAAGTCTTTTGTAATGTAGGTTTGAAAATCACATGCATGTACATTATGTTTGTGTTGTTTAATGCCGCACTCAACAATATTCCAGCTGTATGGCACCGGTCTGTAACTAATTGAGTCTGGACCAGACAATCCAATGACCAAGATATATTCACTCATATCATTTATGGAATCAATAACAAACCGATTCTACCCAGGATCGGCCACGATGTGGTAGACCTCAGATTTCTACAGCAACTGCATCTACAAGTGAGGTGCCTAGTTTAGGACGAATGTCGGTGCAAACGGACACCCTTCCTTATGGAAAGGACCTGTACATGTAAGCTGTCATCCAATCTTCTACACCGGGAAACTAGGCAGCAACTGATCCAGAATTACTGAAACGTAGCGAGTACATTTATTGTCTTCCGCAGGTTTGCCATGTCATATCCTATCTGATGATATTAATACTAGTATAACACATGTTCTAATATTCCGTGCATTTTAGTGTTCTTTCAATCGTCAATGCGTTCTATTTGACAAGCTATTACCGTCAGACACGGCAGAGACAAAAGTGTATTAAATGAAGCCTGGATGAAGTGTTAGAGTGAAAGTAAATATCACAAGTCCATATTACAGAATTAATACTTTATCAGGAAGCCTAAATGTACGTATGTATTTTCATATCAAGCAAATATAGAGTCGGCATTGAGTCATTTCGTTTGACATTTGTCGCACTTGAACCTATGTCAAATAGTACTCCATCAAAGATCCCTTTACCTCAATGCGATGCACATTCGTGTTCATATCATATTTTATTGATGTAATGTTTCTGTAATCTACAAGTGTGTTTGACATTCATGAGAATTCATATTTCTCAAAAGTTTCACAAAACTTAGTTTGTGCAAAACGCTTGTCTTTGATTCTGATCGATTTGCTTATCCTATATCCATAAGTCATAAATGGAGTTCTTTACGTACACCACGCTATTACTTCGAAGTGTAATGTAAACAAGCAGCACTGCATTATGCATCCACATTGAAGGCATTCCATTTGCTGAGCCATTTAAATCAACTTAACATCCCCTCATTCAACTATAAAAGTCGGCATTTCATGTGAAATAATGAGACTGCAGGTCGGATTTACGTGAAGGAAGAGTGGTTTCGATCATCATGTCTCGTGTTCAGCCACAGCATTCATCCACAAAACACTCATTTATTCTGATCAATTTGCTATCCAATTAGGATGCAAACTCACTGAAACCTAAAAGGCGGCATTCTATGTGGTAAACTCAGACTTCTGACCGGATTGCCTTAAAGCAAGGGTAGTTTCTGGCATCATGACTCGCGTACATCCACTGAATGCATCCACTTCTTCTGATGACAGCAAAGAAACAACTAACCCTAGGTCTGTTCTACACATCCTTAACCCAGTGATAACCTTGATGCGTGTTTGTGGAGTATGCACTGGTCCGCGTGTTACTGTGGAGAATATTGGATGTGGTGACTACCGTTTCAGACTGCTTCACAAAGGTGGGTGGTTCCAGCTACTATACTGCGTCCTCGGAAACTTTTATATTTGGATTTTCACCGGAATACTTGCTTATAAACTTGCATTCTTTAAACCAATGTCATGTGAATGGATTATTGCTTTTCAATTACTGGTTATGACTATTACAGCGTCTAGTGCATATACTTGGTCCTCACTGAGCTTTCGGAATGGAATATATCAATCTTGGGTAAAGGATTTCTACCTGTATGAACAACGTTACGGTGTTCATGAAAATATGAAAGACATGGTTCATAAAACTAGGATGATTTTTGCGTTTGTGATGTCCATTGGGATCTGTATTCCAGGGTTCATGTTAACCTATGCGCTCATCATCCGCGAATTTGGAGATATTGCATTTGTTGTCGACGGAGCTTTGGGGTGGTGGAACTATTTAATATCAGTAATGAATTATTTCATTTTGTGCACTTCACTATCGAGCTCTGCTGTCCGGCCAGTGATTGGATCATACGCTCTTTGGTCGGAACTTGACGTGATAAACATCATTATGGAACGATGTGTTGAAGAATACATAAAGCGTCAAGAAAGCCAGATAATCCAGTCAAAAACTGCATCCGAATGCCACTATGAAAGAAATGAGCAACTGAAGGCCATAATAGGACGACATAAGCACGTCTGTAGTTTAATATCTGGATTTGGTGACTCCATTGCCTTTGTGCAATTTCTGGGATTCTTCACGTCACTCCCGCTTTCATGCTTTTCACTGTATGTCATGATGACCCGCATGGAATCACAAAGTAATGTTGCTCTGTGTACGTTTATCCTGCTCTTTTGTGGCGTGGGATGCATCGTTGTGTCCATTATAGGCGCGAGAGTAAACGTAAAGGTGAGTATGTGGATTGACTGTGTGATCCCTATAGGACTAAATTATGTGCATGTGGTAGGACCTCTTCTCGCATTTATGCCAGGTTCCCCTGGATGATGACGCTTTTAGTCACCATTGTTTTCCTTTTGAACCTTTCCATTACACCCATTACCCATTCCATGCATGGTTAACCACCAAAGCGTCATGGTTTTTCATAACAGTCTTCGCTGTTACTCGATCGGAGCTTAGAATCCTCATTTGTGACAATTTCTCACGGGCCAGATTGGGCCTGCATCACGAAGTTGATCGAGGTTGGGGTGTGACGGACAGTTTCAGTGAAGTTAATGGAGACATTTCACTGGTGGTACGAATGTAGCAACGTAGACAGGGGATTGGTACCCTTAGCCTATTTTTTTTAGAACCATCAGTTGCTGTTACAGTTCCATTTTGTCGGCTTCTTGTACGGGATAACTTGTCATATAAGTTAACAACATTATGTAACGTGAAGAACAGGTTAACGTTCCTATTAAGTAAGAATGTATTTACATCTTGCAGTGGACATTAGATTTAGCAGTTAATGATTCCTAAGAAAGAGACTTTGCTATCGATTCTGATTGGTTAATCAGAGGTGTCAAATCACAATGACTTGTTTCTTAATCCTTTATAGTCTTTGTAAGTTGTAAGATACTGTATTTTTCAACGTTCGCGTGACAATGTATGGTTTGATGCAACGTTTTGGGAACAATACATAGCTAGAAGTTCAGGGGTTTCATCCATCCCACTGTGACATGCGCAGATAATTAGAAGCATTTTTCCGGGTCAGCCACATATTGCCGCATGAATGATTTCTCCATAACACAAATGGATCACTGTTACTGTCTTTAACGTGTGTTCATAACAGGCACATACTGCTCTTCAATGCATGCTAAAGATCCCGACAGACGATCTCAGCGAAACAACCATGAGAGCCGTGAGTACAAAGAAAGTTCTTGACAATGTTTGAATGAAGATGTGAGTGAGTGAGTGGGTGGGGTGGGTGGGTGAGTGAGTGAGTGAGTGAGTGAGTGAGTGAGTGAGTGAGTGAGTGAGTGAGTGAGTGAGTGAGTGAGTGAGTGAGTGAGTGAGTGAGTGAGTGAGTGAGTGAGTGAGTGAGTGAGTGAGTAAATGAGTGTTAACATAAATATATTCAATGATGAGCTAAGGAGTTTGAGATTATTTTTCATAACCAACACAACTCTGTCACAGGTGAACCAGTTCACAAGCCTACTAACTGGGACAACAATTGGGTACAACGTGTATGGCCTCTTTACTATCAGCCCGCCGACTCTCCTCAATGTAAGTTCATTTATGCGGTGTTTTTATAAGAAGATTTCCAAAGGGACCAAACATGAACATACTAGTATTTTACGTGGAATTGTTTTTCTCTCATGATTATGTACAGGATATTTGACAAATGTTTCTGTACTTGGTACATGGTTTACAAACTGGATACTTTGTTAATGTTACAGATTGTTGGAACTTTGGTGACCTACATTGTGGTGGTTCTGCAGTTTCGTCAACCGGACTCTCACACAAACCTCAGCACATTGTGCCAAGATCTAGTGGCTAATGTTACTCTACAGTTGGAGGATATGCGCAACGCATCATCGTGTACATAAACGTTTTCATATAGTCTATCAACTTGGACCCGGTGATTGGTCAATTACGTCCTGAGGTTACAATACGTGTGAATTATACTCTGTGTGTGCATTGGAACATGACCATATCTAAAACCGTTTTCTTTCTATTTTTTTCTCACTTTGGGTGACTTCTTACTCTCAGTTTGTTGGACAATTGCTGGACAATTTGTAATCATGAACAGACAGCTACGTGCGTGTCCTTCTTAATGGAACATGTCCAATACACAAATCACACTGATGTTGTAAACAGAGCTATTTATTGTCTGTTTTGTTCTTATGTTCAGATAACGGTCAAAAACGTAATTTAACAATTCTTTTGACAGATCTGAGACTTTTCACTTAAAGTGTACCAATTCAAACTGAGATGAAGTTGGGTCGACTATACGAACAATTAGTTAGTTATTCGTGTAAAGTGCATTATCAAAAAGTTACAAAGTTATCCCGAGGCATTTGACATGCAAACCATACACATCCTTTTCATTTCTTTTTCGAACAACACAAAAGAATTTAGGCCAAGGCTTCCGAGGTATTTCTGATAGGTTGATAATGGTTAGCTCGTGTAGCATTTTACCGTTATTCTATGTTTGTATTATTGTCTTCAGTTAGTTTTATTGTCAATGATCCAATAGGTTGTCAGTAAAGTTGTTGATGGTGCATTTCTTCATAAGAATCGATGTCAACACATGTTAGCTTTAACGAAGATGTAAACGCCAAACATTGTCAAAATGTTTCTCAAATAAAAATGTGTCTTGAGGTGCTTGCTTAAAAACATGCAATGTGGTGTTTCACCAGAGGTAGCATCAACTGAATTCCTGTAAGACAGACGGAATTTAGAATCTTGCACTCAGCAGTTTCTCATTTTGAACATCATGCCTTCGAGTGAAGTCATCTGAATATTACATGCTTGTTCTTCACACAATGTGTACATGTAGCAGTGATATTTTCACGTTGTATTTTATACATTGTAGTTTGTTTTATTTCAAAAGACAATAAAAAGTTCTACAAAAACATTTCCTTTTTTGTGTTTACAGTTTTGTGGGTAACAGAATTATTCATGGTATTCTCTTTGTCTGTTTTATGTATAGGCAGGTTGATGAATATGCATGTCGTGTTAGTGGGAATCTTTGTAATAACTTGGAGAATTTTGATTGGCTGATCGGTTCATCTTCCTCGATAAGATTATACCCCGTGGTGTCGTGAAGTCGTGTTTTCTCGGCGTGAGCTGTGACATACACTTTTGAGAGAATGAATAATTCCTCAAGTGTTTACACGTATTCCGAAACGAAAATTTGTGAATTGAATTAGAATTGGTATTGATGTTATGAAATTTAGTTGTCACCTGTCGGGGCGGTGGGGTAGACTAATGGTTAAAGCGTTGGCTCGTCACGCCGAAGACACGGCGTGAAGCCCATTTCTGGTGTCCCCCGCCGTGATATTGCTGGAATATTGCTAAAAGCGGCATAAAACCATACTCACTCACTAGTTGTTACCTGTCAATAGACACCTTTGTATATGCTCTATTCTAGGTAAGAAAACGACTTACTGGAAAACTGGTACTAGTTTCACAATATTGTGACAAACGCTTTAGCTACACAGAGTTGGCACAGGTTTCTGATCTCGTTTATGGAAACAGACGCGTTCTGCAATTATGACGGGTCTTGGTTACAGGTGATCTCTCACAATGTTCTGTAACCAAGATCACTCACAATTTTCGACCCGTGAAGATCCGGGTTAGAATTGATCTTCAGTAACCCATGCTTGTCGTAAGAGGCGACTAACTGGATCGGGTGGTGAGGCTCGCTGACTTGGTTGACACATGTCTCCCAACTGTGTAGATCGATGCTCATGCTGTTGATCAATAGATTGTCTGGCCCAGACTCGATTATTTACAGACCGCCTCCAGATAACTGGAATATTCCCGAGTGCGCCGTAAACCTAAAGTCACTCCATCACTCACAATTTTCACAGTGACATCAAAAGCGTTGTCTGGAGCTGTCTAACGTCTCAAAAGAATGTGTGTTTAACACTTACGGTAGTTGACTTAATTTCAAATGACTGTTGATTTTACCTATATTTCCTATAGAACTTCACAACAGGATAAATAACACCTGAACCTGTCAGGAATGCGGAAGAAACGTATATAAATATGTTATAAGGATGTGTGTTTGTTAATTATGTCACATTAATAAACTTTGAGTGATTATGGGTCACAAAGGTTTAAAGCGCTGAGTGTGGATTTGAACTCACATCTTGAACTAGGCCAGTATGTAATTTCACCTGTTAAGAGAGTAAGTTTAGGAGTTAGAGTTACCTCCTCTTTGTTGTTGTTGTTGTTGTTTCCGGCGGGAGAAAAGGCCCGAGAAAGGCCGATTCGATGATTGTGTTGTGAGTGAGTGAGTTAAGACTTAACGTCACATCGCCAATATATCAGCCATATCGTGACGAGAACATACTTGACATTGAAATGGAACATGTGTATATTATATAAGCCTGTCATCGAAGGACAGTAAAATAACTATTATATCACAATTAGAATTAAAACTAGCGTGGAAAGTTAAAACTAATAGCACTATTTGGACAATACAACATAAAAACAGGCTATAGATCGCCAACAACTGAAGGTAGATCACCAGATTGTGTTGTGAAACGTCTGGAACTGTACACATTGTAATAGGAATTTAATAGATTAACGCTCATTTGTCTGCTAACGTCGACGTTTCACCACTTCAGAGACCTACCACTCGTCTACATTTAGAAGATAAAGCTACTCTGTTTTCAATTTTGCGGTCCTTTATGGTTGATTTGAGACCGTTAAATTAAACATTTAGCGGTTTCAAATCAACGATAAAGGACCGCAAAATTGAAATCAGAGTAGCTTTATCTTCATTCTAGCACGACTGATAAGCGTTTTAAAACCGAACTGTTTGGTGCGCAAGAACACAAAGGCGTGAATCGTCCCGTTGAGGGACAGGTTGTGTAATGAACAAAATAAAACATTTTCAACAACATAAATGCTTTATTTCAGGAACCAGTATGCTTGTATTTGTAACAAGTAGCATACATAAATAAAACAAAATAAAGTTTATACTGTGAACAAGTACAATTATTTGATTTTTCTCAATCGAATTATTGATCTCCCCTACTATATGACAATCGACCCCAATTCAAGCCGTAATCTCGCTAAGCTTTATTCACGGAAATAATTGTTGATAACCACCCTACTATTCCCAATTTGGAAAACATCTGACATGCCACGTTTTATGTGGGATACATGGACAGTGGAAGTGGAAGGGCTGGGCATTACGTCCGGGACGGAAGCGGTCAGGTTAGGACGTGTGGGCCGACGTATGATCTGGAACCGGTTTGAATATACTGCCGCTTTTGCGCTGCTGACGGATTTTCCAGCTTCGTAGTTTCTTCACTGGGATTATGGTCACGAAATTCTTCTTCAAACCATTCTCTTTTTACTTCAAAAACACCAAAGATGCCGCCGAGATAGAAATTGCCAATCTCCGACATGTTTGTTTACAAACAATAGGGTCAAGGAGTTCGTTGTATTCATACGCGGTGAATCGGTCACTTTAATTATAGCGGTCTTAAACTGCCATTTAAGTACGGTTTTGATGAGCTCTCAGCCAAGCAGAATCGAGTATCATACAATGTCGTGCTAGAATGAAGATTCAATCAGTTATCGATATTTGGTGAGGTAATATTTTAAATTTGTGACTCCACAGTATTGTATCAGAAATGTGTATAGTCATTCATTGTAACCTTGTTTATTATTTATTCAATATATTAGAGACTTGTCTGTGTTCTATTTTGCCTTTTATCTCAGTAATGTCGAAACCGTAACACGTATGAGACGAAAGACGAAAGCACATGGCGAGTCACAAGTCTTCTCCTTAAACCGTCTCGGAGGTTGAACAACAGTTACTCACCATAGGGACAGATACATTACCAAGTCCATCCTCGCTGATTACCTTCTCTGATGTTTAAGAAATGTAAAATCGACAGAACTGTTCCGGGGTTGGAGTGGTTATACAGGTTACAGATTTACCGACATTCTGAGTAGACTTACCGGACTTCATAGTATGTAAGGAAGCATTGCACGAGAAACACAAGAAGTGTAGATACACAACATTTAAAGATAGGTTCTTAGAATTAAATGGTCAACCAAAACATATATATTTACACACACACAAATGTCATAGATGATTTTATAAAAAAAAAATACTGGCAAAATATGCGATTTCTAATGTACTCTAGAAAGCAGCAAACAACTGCCCTAACCCCTGAACTGGTGCATATGCATATCGGAATCACAGATTCAACCAAACTGTAGTTTTGACGTCATAGTTATGTACATACTGTATTGTCATATACAGTTCAGGAAAAGTTTAAACTCATACTAATTTGTACTTTAGAATGATGAGAGCATACATGAATGTCACATTAAAGAACCAGGTGAAATTATTCTGTTCCACTGATAGTGTATGTTTAACGTGACATGTGCGCAAACGGAAGAGACAGTTGTGCTGGCAACCAGTCCCTGAATCCAGTAACAGTCAATTCATACTCAGGAAAACTCATGTACAGGTACATGTTTGTTTGCTTGTTGTTAAACGCCGCATTCGGCAATATTCC